TTTGGGTATTTCGTGCTGTTGCCATATTTTGTAGATGGTTTAAAAAATTGTAAGATCAAATAAAAAGATACCTCATTGAAATACAAAAAAAAGAATCCCGAAATAACATCCAAAACAGCAAACTTGAAAATGTTGTAGACTAGGGTTTGATATATGTTCATATATGGTACTGGAAAGTGCACCCTCTGTAGCACTGGCTTAAGCAGAATACAACACTTAAGCATGAAAGTTGTGAAATTTTGAATGTAGAAACACCTGCAGGCAGTTTTCGTAACCCTTCAGCGTGACATGCTTTTGCCATTCTATGAAGCCTTGGTGGACTAAAGTCAAATCTGAGGTTACTTATTAAAGTACCGTACTATAAATATCTGGTAAAAAAGTGATCCATCGGAAGCATTAAAAACAGCAAAATTACATGCAAATTGCAGACAACCTGCAAAAACAGTTGCTGTCACAAAGTACATTTCATTATTTATAGACACCCAAAGTATTTCTTAGATCGAGTTAGATTTATGTCATGAACTACATGTATTAAATTGGTGTTATTAAATGTTGTTCTAAACATTACCATGAACATATTCATAGGACAAAAAAAATCAAATAGCTTGAAATCAAAAATGGTCCTTGATAAGTCCTGGAAAAGTCCTTAAATTTTCAAAATATCTAAGAGTGGGAACCCTGCATGAAATAGAGGCATGTTTTCTGGTAAGCGTGAGTCGGGGATATTCGACACTTGTGACAATTTTTATGCTCCCCGAAAAAAATTTCCATCCGTCCGTCCGCTTTTCTTGTCTGGGACATAACTTTGAAACAACAAGAGGTATCAACATGAAACTTTGTAGGTAGATAGATCTCATTGAGTAGATGTACAGTGCACAAGAATCCTAACTCTGCCTTGCCTAATTTATTTTTGAATTATTCCCCTTTGTTTATTTTTACACTTTGAACTTTTCTGGGACATAACTCTAGAAGTATAAGAGTTATCAACATGAATCTTTGTAGGTAGATAGATCTCATTGAGTAGGTGTGCAGTGCACAAGAACTGTTACTCTGCCTTCCCTAATTTTTGAATTATCCCCCTTTGTTTATTTTACACTTTGAACTTTGTCTGAGACATAACTCTAAAACTATAAGAGGTATCAACATGAAACTTTGTAGGTAGATAGATCTCATTTGATAGGTGTGCAGTGCACAAGAAGGGTAACTTTGCCTTGCCTAATTTTTAGCTCACCTGTCACAAAGTGACAGGGTGAGCTTTTGTGATCGCTTTTCGTCCGGCGTCCGTCCGTCCGGCGTCCGTCCGTCGTCCGTCCGTCCGTCCGTCCGTAAACTTTTACTTTAAATGACATCTCCTCATAAACCACTAAGCCAATTTCATCCAAACTTCACAGGAATGTTCCTTTGGTGGTCACCTTTAAAAATTGTTCAAAGAATTTAATTCCATGCAGAACTCTGGTTGCCATGGCAACCAAAAGAAAAAACTTTAAATATCTTCTTTTAAAAAACCATAAGAGCTAGAGCTTAGATATTTGGCATGAAACATCTTCTAGTGAGTGTCTACCAAGTTTGTTCAAATAAAAGCCCTGGGGTCAAAATTGGCCCCGCCCCGGGGGGTCATTGATTTTCCCTATATGCATATAGTAAAAACTTAAAAAATCTTCTTTTAAAGAACCCAAAGAGCTAGAGCTAAGATATTTAGCATGAAACATGTTCTAATGGGTGTCTACCAAGTTTGTTCAAATAAAAGCCCTGGGGTGAAAATTGGCCCCGCCCCGGGGGGTCATTGATTTTCCCTATATGCATATAGTAAAAACTTAAAAAAATCTTCTTTTAAAGAACTCAAAGAGCTATGGCTAAGATATTGAGCATCAAACATGTTCTAATAGGTGTCTACCAAGTTTGTTCAAATACAAGCCCAGGGGTCAAAATTGGCCCCGCCCCGGGGGTCATTGATTTTCTTTAAAACTTTAAATCTTCTTTGAAAAAACCCAAATAGCTAGAGTTTAGATATTAAGCATGAAACATCTTCTAGTAAGTGTCTACAAAGTTTGTTCAAATAAAAGCCCTTGGGTCAAAACTGGCCCGGCCCCATTCTTTTTAACTATATGTGTATAGTAAAAACTTGAAAAAAATCTTCTTTTAAAAAGCCCAATGAGCTAGAGCTTAAATGTTTAGCATGAAACATCTTCTTATGGGTGTCTACCAAGTTGGGGGGGGGGGGGGCTATATACAGGTGAGCGACCTCAGGGCCATCATGGCCCTCTTGTTGAATTATCAACCCTTTGTTTATTTTACACTTTGAACTTTGTCCAGGACATAACTCTAAAACTATAAGAGGTATCAACATGAAAATTTGTAGGTAGATAGATCTCATTTGGTAGGTGTGCAGTGTACAAGAAACGTAACTCTTCCTTGTCTAATTTTTGAATTATTCCCCTTTGTTTATTTTAACACTTTGAACTTTGTCCAGGACATAACTCTAAAACTATAAGAGATATCAACATGAAACTTTTTAGGTAGATAGATCTTATTGAGTAGGTGTGCAGTACACAAGAACTGTAACTCTGCCTTGCCTAATTTTTTTATTATTCCCCTTTGTTTATTTTCACACTTTGAAATTTGTCTGGGACATAACTCTAAAACTATAAGAGGTGTCAATAACTCTAAAACCATAAGAGGTGTCAACATGAAACTTTGTAGGTAGATAGATATCATTAAATAGGTTTGCAGTGCACAAGAACTGTAACACTGTCTTGCCTACGTTTGGAGTTATTGCCCTTTGTTCATTTTGACACTTTGAACGTTGTCCTGGACATTAACATGAAACATGAGATATCAACCTGAAACTTTGTACAAAGATAGGTTTCATTATGTAGAAGTGCAGTGTTTAAGAATCATTACTCTGCCTTGCCTTATTTTGAAGTTATTGCCCTTTGTGTATTTTTACTTTTTGACTTTTGTCCAGGACATAACTTTAAAACTATTAGAGATATCAACATGAAACTTTGTAGGTAGCTAGATATTATTGGATAGAACTGCAATGCTTAAAGAACCTAAACAAAGCCTGGTCTAATTTTGGAGTTATTGCCCTTTGTTCATTTTTACACTTTCAATTTTACCCAGGACATAACTCTGAAACTATAAGTGATATCAACATGAAACTTTATAGATATATAGATCTCATTGAATAGAAGTGCAGTGCAAAAAAGATAACTCCGCCTTGCCTTATTTTGGAGTTTTTGCCCTTTGTTCATTTTTTTTATACTTTCCTGTGTCAAGAACCTTCTCAGGGAGCATCACCCTGTTCAACCGGTTCTTGTTAGTTAAGTTTTCGTTTTTGTGACACCACAATACCATATGTTTAGTCATTTTGCATTTTATAACATGTGACTACACATTCTTATGCTTATAAGAATGTCTTAAGTCACTACTTATATACAGATACTAACTAACTAACCACCGCGCCACTGTTCTGTCAATCTTATGACTCTAGGTCAAATATTTTTTGAAAACTAAAAATCTTTTACTAAGTAAAGGGCAAGAACTTTACAAATACTGAATAAATCCACAAGCAAACCCCAAGGTGCATAAGTACACATGCTGACCAACATTCTTGTAAACTTTCAGGCCTACAAGTGAAATACTTTTTGAGCTATGCATGAGCAAATTGAAAATTGTAAATCAAGGGCAATAACTCTAACAAAACTGAAAAAAATCCACATGCAAAGTCCCAGGTTCATAGCTTCACAGTGATGTGAATCAATATTCCTGTAATTAGTGATGTTGATCATTATTCCAGTAAAGTTGGTTGATTCTAACTCAAGCACTCAAGGAACAAATAACAACATACATGTAATAAAACGGTTTTTATTAATTCAAGGGAAATAACTCTACAAATACTGGATAAATCCACAAGGGAAACCCCAGGTGCAAAACTAAATATGCTGAGCAACCTTCCCGTAAGGTTTAATGACTCTATGTCAAATCCTTTTTGAGTTACATGAGACACAAGTTGAAAATTGCAAAAAAAATTCTAAGTCAAGGGCAATAACTCTAAAAATACTAAAAATAACCAGACGAAAATACCAAGGTGCACAACTACACATGCTGATCAATATTCCTGTAAAGTTTCATGACTCTATGTCAAATCCTTTTTGAGTAACATGTGACACAAGTTGAAAATTGCAAAATTTTACTAAGTCAAGGGCAATAACTCTAAAAATACTACAAATATCCAGACCAAAATAACCAGGTGCACAACTGCACATGCTGATCAACATTCTTGTAAAGTTTCATGACTAGGTCAAATACTTTTTGAGTTACATGCGACACAAGTTGAAAATTGCAAAATTTTACTAACTCAAGGGCAATAACTCTAAAAATACTAAAAACATCCAGACCAAAATACCCAGGTGCACAACTACACAATTGCTGATCAACATTCCTGTAAAGTTTCATGACTGTAGGTGAAATACTTTTTGAGTTACATGCGACACAAGTTGAAAATTGCAAAATTTTACTAAGTCAAGGGCAATAAGTCTAAAAATACTAAAAATATCCAGACAAAAAAACCAGGTGCACAACTACACAATTGCTGATCAACATTCCTGTAAAGTTTCATGACTGTAGGTGAAAAACTTTTTGAGTTACATGCGACACAAAAGAGAACGGAAGTTACCGACGGACGGACGGATAAGGGTAAATCTAAATGCCCGCCACTAAAGTGGGGGCACAAAAATTGTTTTCGTATTTGCTTATATTAATATTCATCACCATGTATCATAATTTGTATTCATATTACCTACCACTAGCTATCACTAGCTTCTTTTGCAATATTATATACCAGATTAAAATGACTTTCACTGTTACTATAACAGCATTCTAATTTATCATTTTTTATGGTAAACTATGCAATAAAGAATTCAATAAATTGGAGAAAGGGATTATTACAAAGTTAAATTCAAATTAAAACAAATATATCATAATTGTATTTATTTCAGGAACCACCTACTGGTTTAAAGTATACACAGAAAATGTGATGTACAATTCATCAGTATCTGCACAGTCTCAGTATTGTACAACAAAAGCGAAATGTAAGTTGGCATTTTTATCTTTTATAAAAATTTCTCTCCAATCTGTCCACTGACCCTACATTTTCATAGCTTTTGTGTCGCCTGTACAGAGTCATCTGTTCAAGTCCGTCTGTCACAAAACTTGTCAGGGCTACTGTATGTGTAGAAATTTTCGCGGGCTTCAAATTTTCGCGATCTTCGCGGTGACATTCGATCCGCAAATTCATGTTTAGCGCGAACATTTCTACACCAATAATTTCTTAATAGTCATATTTTCGCGCTTCTATAGAACAATGTATATCAGTATGTGATATGCTTTCACACTTTTTATTTAAATCTTTACTGTGTAATTGTGTTTTGTTTTCCAAGTTATTGATCATTTAAAATCGTTTATGTTTGTGTTTTTTTAATTGTTTGTTCAGAAAAACCAAAACATGCTCTGATCAGATGTCAAGACGTTTATGACGCAAACTGTGAAAAATTATGCACGTTAACGGGCATTCTTTTGTTTTCTATAATCTGTCCGCTAGACAATGTCTTTTTTCTGTACAATAGAGTATTGTTTGACACCTGGTATTAAACATAACTGTGAACTCCCACGATGATTACAGTAATTTTCTTTTTTTTAACCTGAGTGGTCTACGCGAATTTATGATTTTTGGCAGTCACCTCCGCGAATTCAAAATAGCGCGAATATTTGTATAGACCCCAAAGTGGACCTTTCCGCGAAAATTTGCTTCAGCGAATTTAAATACACATACAGTATTCCTTAAAAACTGCTAGTGCAATTTCATCCAAACTTTACAGTACCAAGTCGGCATTTTCTGGACCTGGTTGCACAGGTGCAAACCCTGGTTATAGTATGGTGAATTTCGGGCAGGGGAAAAATATTTGATAGCATTTTCTCAGCAACTACTTATCACAGCCTTTTCATAATTGGTCTACAGCATTAACACATGGTCCCATACTGTGGGATTCGATTTCAGGTCTGTTGCCTAAGGGGCATCCGTGGGTGAGTGGTTAAGGTCGTTGACTTCAAACCACTTGCCTCTCACCGCTGTGGGTTCCAATACCAACAGGGACTTTGGATTCTTTTATGTGAGGAAGCTATTCAGCTAGCTTACGGAACGTCGGTGTTTCTACTCAGTTGCTGTATCGTGTCTGAAATAATGCATGAAACCTCACCATATGACCAATACTGTGTTGGTGTGACATATAACCCAATCAAACAAACAAATAAGGTCTATTGCCTATCCACTTCCTGTTAACTAATTTAATTCGACATTAATGGTCAATGGTAGAAAATAAATTTTTGTAACAGTTTTCTCAGCAACTACTAATCACAGCCTTTGCATATTTCGTATACAGCATTATCACATGGTCCCATACTGTGGGCAGAAGCTCATCCCCTTCCTGTTTACTGACTTAGTTATACCCCCGCACAACAAAGTTGTAAGGGGGCTATACTGGAATCAGCTTGTCCGTCTGTCCATCCGGCTGTCCGTCCGTTTTTTCTTGTCCGCCCAATAACTTAAGATTCCTTTGACCCTTAGTCTTCATATATGGCATGGAGGTTAGTCATGATTAGTAGATGACCCCTATTGATTTTGAGGTCACTAGGTCAAAGGTCAAGGTCACAGGGGCCTTGACTTCAAAAAGCTTGTCCGCCCAATAACTTAAGATTCTTTTGACCTACAGTCGTCATATTTGGCATGGAGGTTAGTCATGATTAGTAGATGACCCCTATTGATTTTGAGGTCACCAGGTCAAAGGTCAAGGTCACAGGGGCCTTGACTTCAAAAAGCTTGTCTGCCCAATAACTTAAGATTCCTTTGACCCACAGTCTTCATGTTTGGCATGGAGGTAAGTCATGATTAGTAGATGACCCCTATTGATTTTGAGGTCACCAGGTCAAAGGTCAAGGTCACAGGGGCCTTGACTTCAAAAATCTTGTCCGCCCAATAACTTAAGATTCCTTTGACCCACAGTCTTCATATTTGGCATGGTGGTAAGTCATGATTAGTAGATGACCCCTATTGATTTTGAGGTCACCAGGTCAAAGGTCAAGGTCACAGGGGCCTTGACTTCAAAAAGCTTGTCCGCCCAATAACTTAAGATTCCTTTGACCCATAGTCTTCATATTTGGCATTGAGGTTAGTCATGATAAGTAGATCACCCCTATTGACTTTGAGGTCACCAGGTCAAAGGTCAAAGTCACAGGGGCCTTGACTTCAAAAAGCTTGTCCGCCCAATAACTTAAGATTCCTTTGACCCACAGTCTTCATATTTGGCATGGAGGTTAGTCATGATTAGTAGATGACCCCTATTGACTTTGAGGTCACCAGGTCAAAGGTCAAAGTCACAGGGGCCTTGACTTCAAAAAGCTTGTCCGCCCAATAACTTAAGATTCCTTTGACCCACAGTCTTCATATTTGGCATGGAGGTTAGTCATGATTAGTAGATGACCCCTATTGACTTTGAGGTCACCAGGTCAAAGGTCAAGGTCACAGGGGCCTTGACTTCAAAAAGCTTGTCCGCTTCCTTTGACCCATTGTCTTCATATTTGGCATTGAGGTTAGTCATGATTAGTAGATGACCCCTATTGACTTTGAGGTCACCAGGTCAAAGGTCAAGGTCACAGGGGCCTTGACTTCAAAAAGCTTGTCCGCCCAATAACTTAAGATTCCTTTGACCCACAGTCTTCATATTTGGCATGGAGGTTAGTCATGATTAGTAGATGACCCCTATTGATTTTGAGGTCACCAGGTCAAAGGTCACAGGGACTTTGACTTCAAAAAGTTTGTGGTCACTGGATCAAAGTTCAAGGTCATAGGGACTTTGACTTCAAAAAGTTTGTCCACCCATTAATTTAAGATTCCTTTGACCCACAGTCTTCATATTTGGCATGGATGTTGATCATGACTATAAGGTGACCCCTATTGATTTTGAGGTCACTGGGTCAAAGGTCAAGGTCACAGGACCTTGACAAATAAAAAGCTTTTCTTCTCAATTGCTAAAGAATGTCCTGTCCGCAATGTATTGTTTTGACATTTTCACATTTGAAGCATGTAGAATACATAAGCATGTAGAATACATAACTTAGCAATGCACTGGCTTAGTAACCTCAGATTTGGCAGGGAGGTTGTCCTTGAGCTCTAAATGGCCACTGTTGATTCTGACAAAGTGGTATGCGGGGGTATTCACGCCATGATAGTGGCAGTTCTAGTTATATTTAGTTAAATTTTCAACATTTATGGACAATGGTAGGAAATTTTGTAACATTTTTCTTAGCAATTCTTGATATTTGTAAACAGCATTAACACTTGGTCCCATACTGAAGGATTCAATTTCAGGTCTGTTGCTCATCCACATCCTGTTTACCGACTTAGCTGAATTTTTGTGCCCTCACTTAAGGGGAGCTGAATTTTTGTGCCCTCACTTAAGGGGAGGGGGGCATTTAGATTTACCCTTAACCATACATCCATCCCTCCTTCCATCTGTATTTTGTGTCGCATTTAGCTCAAAAAGTATTTGGCCTAGAGTCATGAAACTTTACAGGAATGTTGATCAGCATGTGTAGTTGTGCACCTGGGTATTTTTGTGTGGAGCATATTGCACAAGTTTTCTGCTTGAGTAATTTTTTTGCTGAGATATGTCCCTTAAATACCATAGTGTTTTTATACGCCCGTTTGAAAAACGGGACGTATTATGGGAACGCCCCTGGCGGGCGGGCGGGCGGCGTCCAATTTTGTCCGGAGCATATCTCCTACATGTATGGAGGGATTTTAATGAAACTTCATATAAATGTTCACCACTATGAGGAGCAGTGTCGCGCACATGAACCAGGTCTCTAGGTCAAAGGTCAAGGTCACACTTAGAGCTCATTGAAAAATGCTTGTCCGGAGCAAAACTTCCACATATATAGAGGGATTTCAATATTACTTGGCACAAATGTTCACCATTGTGAGGCGGAGTGTCGCGTGCAAGATTCAGGTCCTTGCGGCCAAGGTCAAGGTCACACATAGAGGTCAAAGTTCAGATAAAAATATGAAGATGTGTATATGGACCATTTAGTCATCATTTATTGAGGGATTGTAACACAAATGGTCATTATCAAGACTATGGCTGTGATACATATAATTTAGGTCAATATATACAAGGTCAAGGTCACTAAAGATGATGAAATATCCAGATTTTGTAAATAGAATTTAATCAAAGGGAGACAACAAAGTTATTACTTTGTTCATAAATGACTTACACAATTACTCCCCTTGATCTATTTTCACTTTCAATTCTAAAAATAGAATTTAATCAAAGGGCATGAAATAATCCTCTTTCTTGGACTTGAGTATGTTCTAAAGAATGTAACATTTATTTACACATGTTTCATTCATTGGTCAAGATTCTTAACTGTGATAACTATGGTGTTCTGTAGACTTGGTATTTGTTCATAAAGATCATACAGTAATTACCTTATCAAATGTAAATACTTTCTCATAGAAATTTAATTATATTTTAATTTTCAAGTAAATATCAGTTCAGCTCATTCAAAGATTAAGAATTGTAATGAAATGTATTTCCCTAGAATAAAATCTTAAATCAGAATTTTTTAGTTATTAAATTACATGTACTTTTTATACGCCCGTTTAAAAAAAGATAAAAATATGAAGATGTGTTTAGGGACGATTTAATCATCATTTATTGAGGGATTGTAACACAAATGGTCATTATAATGACTACGGCTGTGACACATGTACTTTAGGTCAATATATGCAAGGTCAAGGTCACTAAAGATGGTGAAATATCCAGATTTTGTCTGGAGCATATCTCCTACATGTATGGAAGAATTTTTATAATACTTTATGGAAATGTTCACCACCATGATATGTATTGCTCCATGCATGATCCAGGTCTCCAGGTCAAAGGTCAAGGTCACACTTAGAGCTCATTGAAAAACGCTTGTCCGGAGCAAAACTTCTACATTCATAGGGGGTTTTCAATATAACTTGGCACAAATGTTC